GCCAGTGAACACAGGAACAGAGTGGCCATTGTCTGGCCAGCCAGGTTCCCAGAGAACGGCTCTGCACTGGAGGAACTCTCTGTGGGCTGGCAGCATAGCTGGCCCTGAAACACTCCACAGACAGAATGTCTGTGCTCCTCGGCTACCCCTGAGGCCAGACCCTGCAGGCCAAGGCCAGGCCTGGGTACCTGACCTTTGGGATCTAAGTTTTCGGTCTCTCTGGTCACACTGTTCCTGCCCCAAGACTGCCAGACCAGTACAAAGGCCACCAAGCCTAGCAGTGACAGCCAGTTGCCAACCACAACCAGCCCCTTCGCCAAAGATCTGTGTAATGTCTTTACACAGTCCAGAGCTAGGTCACGGTCAAGGTGAGAAGCCCTGGTGTTTTTCCATCACCATTTCTTGGCCTCAGACTCAACAGTGGCCTCAGATTACATCACTTAACCGCTTTCTTTGCTTCTTTGTGTTATGTTGGCCAACTCTCCTCTAGGTCGCGGGAGAAAGTCTGGCAGAGTCAGAAAAAACTATCAAGGGTCTGCAAGACAGAAATTCCAGCTTGCCTGTTCTAGGGCAGTGGCTCTCCACGCGCCACAGTACATCAGAATCACACACAGCAACCCTCAAATTTAATGTGTTCAAGAATCACTGAGGGACCTGGCGTTGTAGTCACCTGTTCAAAGACAACCACAACTTCAATCTGCATGGTGAGTCTGGGGTGGGGCTGAGGAATCTACATTTTAACGAGTGTCCCAAGAGGTGGGATGCAGGTGGTCTGCAGACCACGTGGTGAGAAATACGCCCTGTGGCACTGGTCAGATCTGGCCACGCACCTGCCGATTCCGAATGTGCAGGGTTGTGTGTGTCACATTCCTGGCACACGACGAGGGTTTGCAGCCACCGCTGCAGAAATTATTTCATTCAGAAAAAATGAGCCAGACTTGCTCGTGAGATCCCTTCCTCTGGAGGCTCTCATCACCCTCTCAAACTTAAGGCACACAGTTGCTGGAATAGAAACTTCAGAGAAAAACTCTCGTGTGCCCCAGCAGCTGAGATCCTTAACAAACGGGACTGTAAAAACGGGCAACATGACGGTAGGAAATTTACAGACCCGCTCTCTCTTTTCCTGAGTCTAGTAGAAATCGCCAAAGCGAAGGGGCCACCTGGAACTGCCTCACTCCGGAGATTGCCTTGCTCCGTGTAAGCAGGGCAGTGGCAGCAGCCGTGGCTGCCAG